TCTACAGGGGAGTGAAACTACACCCACAGGCAACTTCGTCTTTACAAAAAACAGCGGGTTTTACTGTATTTCCTGTCCCTGACCTATCTCACTTCAGCACAAGCACAGGGGCTGGCACTGCCTCCCCTCTCCTCCCCTGACTGACAATGGCCTTCAACACCATGAGATTCCATGTTCAGTAGGTTTCTAATTAGCTCACAATATTTAATCACCTCTGATAACAAGTTATAACTTCTAAACCTTTCAAAGTCTGAAGTAAAAGCTTTGAGGCCATTCATTTGTGCTTGCAAAGTTCTCTGTAATTTTTAAATAGAAATGTTTCCAATATATAGAAGGAAACACCGAAAGGTGTATTTTTTACATTCCCTTTTTTGACCAAAAGTCACAATTTCTTCAAAAGTGTTTATTTCACAATTTTTTTTTTTTTTATCCACAGATGAATATTACAGTGACTATTACAACCATTTTCATATAAACAAAGGTGTAGTTTACAGATTTGTTCAAAATGGAAAAATATTTTATAAGCAGTAGTATTTCATCCACAGTACTCACTCCTGTATATCTTTCAGCTTCTTTGAGAGCAGCTATACCTTTCTGCTTGTTTAAGGTAATGAGATTTCACTATCCCCACCCAAAATCCCCAAACAAACAAACAAAACAGACATTGCACTGTAGTAGCACACACTTTTTCTTTTTTTTTTTTTTTTCTAATTTCAACTTAATTTGAAAGTTTTTGTCCACTGGTATTTACATTTTGAAATAATTTTGCATACTCATTGGGGAACATGTCTCTGGATTGTTTTACTCAACATCTACATTGCTAGAAGTTCTTTCAAGAAAAAAAGAATCAATTTATAACTGTTATATATAAGTGAATCAATAAAGCTGGAGGAAAAAGGTTCATGGTAGTTCATATAATTCATTTTAATTAGGTTATTATATTCGTATGCAATGACAAAATGCTAATTTTTCAGTTAAATATGGTCTGAAATACTAAGTTTGCACAGTTTTGTCAATTTACTGTTGAAAATGGAGGAAAGGGACCTGTTGTTTCAAGTGCATCTTTTATCACTTGTATCTTTTGCAAAAAATGGAGGGTCATATATTGCAAAGACTTTAGGTATTGTTGTTATATCTGTGTATAAATTGCAGTACCTGGAAAGGTAGCCACTATGTATGTTTAAACTCTGCAACATGCCCACATTTTGTTGTTGTTTCACTCAAAAGTCATCTTTTTAAATACAGCGCAACAAGTTATGTGAGCAAAAAATGTTTACGATGTAGGATTGCATAAATTCACTCTTGAGGTCTAAATGTTCTTTTCTACAGTCAACTGCTACAACAGCTTTACCAGCAAATAAGCTATCTCAGCTACAAAATGCCAATAAAAGAAAAAAGAAGAAAAATCAAAGCAAGTTTCTGGTGAAAATGAAGTGCGTATGTTGTCCTGGATGCTTCTCGTAGGTCAGACGACACAAGCCTGAACTTGCATTTGAAGTGTTGGTTTTGTAATGGTGGTTTGGTTCTGGGGGGGGTTTCTTTTTTCTTTTCTTCTTTTTTTTTTCTTTTTCTTTTTTAATTCTCTATAGTGCTTGTCTGAGATACATTATACATGCAAAAATCAGTACGGGTCAGTACTGTTTTTTTCCTAGGAACTTCAAAGTGTTTTTGCAGGCCTTCTCAAGAGTGAGATTTTATAAGCAGACTTACAAATCCACAGACAACTATTTATGACAGAACAAGAAAAATATCCCCAAATTTTAATGCTTGTTTCAGAGAAACAGCAGTTCAGAAGTCAGTTACCTTAGTAACAGCTAAAGGCACACAGTGGGAAAACGCTTAACTTAATAATCAATATTTAAAAATAAAGACAGATCTGGAAAACAGCCAGCTTTCTCAAAGCCATGCTTTGTGTTAAATACGTTCTGTAAATAAAAAAGTGCCAATCTGAGGAAAGAAAGGCATGCTTGAGCACAGCAATTTAACAAAATTAACATTCAAAAAAATTTTATCAACTGCTAAAAGAAAAAAAAGAACATATATTAAAGATATTTCATATAGAGTCATCTTCCGGATGGATGCTAATGGATAAACTACATTATCACAGATCAAGACATTAAATCCCAGTTCCCATCTACACATATCTTTCATATTAAGAAAGTCTCTTTGTTGTACCTATAAATTATGGTCCTAAAACTGCCAGTGAAAGACCATTATCCCCTAGAAGAGCATTAACCATGTTTTATAATTGTGATCAGCAACAAAATCGTTGCAGAACAGGATCCTGCAGCAACCTGTCATTTAGTCTGAACAATAGGCATTGGTTTAATCAATCTGTTGGGAATTGTACTCTGAATAATTCACATCAGAGAGAGGTAGAGACCTGAGGAGCCTGAGAGGAAACTGCTGGCCTAAGATAAATTCTGAGAAATTCTGAGAAATAGCACTATGTTAAAATTGCCTTACAGAAAGACTCTGATCTTTTTTTTTTTTTTTTTTTCTTTTCTATTTTTCAACCGTGATGACAGCGTGGAAAAAAGGGACTGAGATACAATTTAAAAAAAAATTAAATCCAGAGCATTGCAAAAACATTCATTTGCAAAACGTGAAAAGAGGTAGGTACAATAAATAAAAATATTGCAGCTGAGCAAGTGACAGAAGAGCATGGGCTTGCTGGGCACAGACAGCGAAATGGTGGTGTTATTGTATACGAAGGAGAGATGAAGGCACTACTGAATATACACAGTAGATGCAAATGCTCAAGGACTGTAGTTTGGAGGTAGTGCTGGTACTATACACGCAATAAATTTTCTTCTATAATTAGCTGGGTGATGGTTAGAGGAAAAGATAACTTCCCCCTAGGGAATGGCCTTAAGTTTGTCCTTCACTGGTAACAGCCGTGCCAAACCACAGTCCATTTGAGACAAGGTATTTACCCACCAGCATAGAACAATCTAATTCTTCACAGCACTCAACTTTTTCTTTAAAAATGTGCTTTTCGAATAGTAATATACATATATAGTACATACAGGACTATTACAGTTTGTATATACATAGATTATATACATGATGTTTAAATCAAAACACACTCCTTATCTAAAAACGAGACTGCAGCATGGTGGGATTTAGTGTATCTTTAAAAGACTTTGCATTCTTTTTTTATCCTCCGAGCAGACAGGGTACCTGATCATAAATTTGCTGTTTGGATAGGATTTACACCTACTAAAAGTAGTCAGATGCAGAGAAGGTTTGTTTTGTTTGGTTTGGTTTGGTTTTTTGGAAGCTTTTAATCATCATGGAGTTGCTTGAGACTTCAGGAACCGCAACCACAAAAGCAGGAACGTTAACATCTACTTCGACAAGACCACTGTGGAAGTGGAAAGGACGAAATGTATGTCATGGTGCTAGGATAAGCAGGGCTTTTGCCTGCTGCCAAACATCCTGGCTGCGTTTTGGCACGCTGAGTTACAGCAGAAGCATTGCCACCGGGATCGTTGTCCAGCACCACTCGCCCTCGGGAACACACCTTTTCCCTCTCTCAGCAAGGAGAGCGGCTCTCTGCAGTAACTGAGAATTGGTAATAAGCACTGAGAAAAATCAGTGACTGCTTTTGTGAGTAGCTGGCCCCTTTCAACGTCTTCCTGGTGAGGTCAGAGGGTTGGTTTGTTTTAATTTATAAGTTAGGTTAAAAAAAAAAAAATAAAAAAAATCCTAACAATTTGAATTGATTGCAATTATTTGTTTAAAGTTGTTGTAGGTAAAGAGTTCCTGTTCACTCTTAAAGCAATGGCTTACATTAGTTACTAACACACTATCTCACATTTTTTTTGTGTTAAAACATTTTATTGCTTATCCATTCCCTTTTATTTATTATTTTTTTATTATTATTCATTTATCTAAGCCCTGTATTTGCACGACTGGTAAAATTTCAGATGGCTATCGAACTGAACAGAATTTTTTCCACGGACTTCTACGGCTACGACTCACCCACTGAAGATAAGTAGGCCTGGGGACCCAAATACTAAACTGGGTTGTCTTAGCATGTCTCATGTCTGCATGAGATTCTGACACAGGCCATGGAAGAGGTCTGAGAACCTCAACAGACACTGGATGAAATTTTTTTTACTTTTAAAAGCACAGGAAAAGCCAACAGTAGGGATCAGCATGATGCGCGTCTATACTAGAAGCAGTAAGCCTAAGGCAGTACCTTGTCTCAAGATTATTTCACTAGGACAAAACCTTTGCAAGTCACTAATGTAAATTTTGGTAATGGAAAAAAAGTCCCAACTCCTGATTTGAATTTGAATTCCCGTGAAGTAGATGCACTGGATATAGCTAAGAAGAACATCCAGCATTTCTCAAACATAGAATTTGTGACCAATTTCACATCAGTGCAAACAAGCGGTGTCCAAGCCCGTTATTTTAACTGGGATGATAAACACGTACTGGCACTTTCTGCAATTTACTTTCTCAACCCACTATTGTGATACAGGTACTAGCAAGAACAAGAGGCAGAATTGCATGTCCTGTTATTAATACATACAAAACCACCTAGCTATTAGACAAATTACATGTCCTTCAAGGCAGCACAAGTGTCTCAGATTTTGTTTCTGATTTAACTGTCATTTCTTCATAGACACCTATGAAGATCAAAGTAAGTTGTCTTCCACTCACCATTCTTTTTTGTCAGTGGCTTTTTAAGAGACTTCTTTTTTTTTTTTGTGGGCTCTGAGCTATGTCAACATAAAATCACATAGTAAAAAATAAACCTACATTTCTAGCATCCTTATTCTGAGCTGCAAATTTGCAAAAAAAAAAAAAATCACGTACACATCAGTCTCTCTCTCACTGTACAGTTTAGCATCCATTTATTACTGTGTATTGGTTCTTCCATAAACCTGTTTGGTCCATATTTAAAGAGCTCCTTAAATTCTTTTTGTGATATTTCTTTCTTTGCTGGAGGTCTCTGGATGGGAAAGGTGGGCTTAATTATACTTCCTTCAGACTTTATTGAGAAATTCCAAGTGGAGAGAAGCAGGGAGATGAATGGAGTCCATGGTTATGGAGGATGGGTTGAATGGGAACAAAACTGGGAACACGTGCTTGAAGTCTAACAGCAGCTGCGGAGGGTCGTTTCGCTCTTGCAAGTGCATCTATGAGGTGTGGGAGAAGAAAACAAATTTAGTATCAATTCTCACATTTTCTTTGCATTTGTCATGTTTATCATCATCAAAGGTTTGAAAACATACACAATTTTAGAGATATTGCAAAAAACAGTGAGAAGTACTTTGTTCTCTATTCCAGCAGCCTTTCTCCGAGCAAATATTTACAGCAACTTCTACAAAGACTGTAGGAAATACTGCTTCAGAAGAAGCTGGCTATGTTTTCTACGTGACCACGAAGCAAGACACAAAGCCTGGAAACAATACGACCCCCTCACACAGCAAAAGCAGCACTGTTTGATAGGAGCAGACCACTTTGGTTCAGCTGCTCAACGACAAGAGACAAATTCTAGGAGCAGTTGAACATGTTTCTGTTTCCATTTCCTGCCTCCACCATGCAAGCATTAAAAGAAGTTTAGTTTTCATTTATTTGTTTTTTCCTTTAGTTGCCAGTTTCTGCCTCGGATCTCAGAAGTAACTCCATTTCACTGATGCTTCGCTGATTCCTGTGACCTTACTTCTGAGTCGTGTTGTGTTAGCTGAGCTGGGAGTTTAGGTGCTTATTGCTCTCTGTGATTAACAGCCCGGTTATCCCCGCAGCTGTACGTTGCAAGTATGAGTGTGCACATGCAGAGCACTAAATTGAGGACGACACGCATGCCTATTACAAAATGCCCAAGTTAGTAATGATTTGATACAGATGTCATTAGTACTGTCTCCTCCACTTTACAGCCCTTTTAATTTACCTGTATGTCTCGTATGAAAGCTACTGTCACACGTTCTTCAAACTCATTCACAGGAGTGTAGAGATTAAGTATCTTTACAATCTGTTGAAAACAAAATAGGATTACAAACAGTCATGAGAAATCCAACTTTTCCAGAATACAAAGCACCGCTAACATTTTGTCTTGATATGGCCATAACAAGTCTCCCATGACACTACTGAGAAGCAGAAGTAGCACAGGTATCATCCTGGAGTTCCTTTGCCTGATGTAAGGTTTGGTAAGCCTCTAAGGACATGTCAAAGTCACTTCTTATGGCAACGTTTGTAAATTTGGAATAGGCTTGAACAACAGTTTTATACAGGGATTCCACTCGGTTGGCACATGGTGACACAGGAAGATTCAGAATAGTGACCACCTCCCAGGATGTCTGATGTCACCTCTGCTACACTTTTGATGCTCCCTCACTCCTGCTCCTTCCCTAACAGCCTAACACACATCTTGACTTCTCTCAAGTAAACATTCAAGATGGAGAGATGGAGATACAGGAGAAAGGATCCTGAGAATCACTGGAGATCAGCTCACACCTCTTGCTTCTCCCTTGCTACGACATTATCAAAATTAAGGCCAGGCAATCCAGCAGCAAAGAATGTGAGTTTATATCCTCCTGTAATGGAGTCTCAAAGTTTAAGTTCGTATCCAACCAGCTGAGATGGGCAGTTCTCAAACTCCAGCCCCAAAAATGAATCTCTGCTGAGCATCCTCAGACCTAGCCAGGTTAGACCCTGGCAAAAGGATACATTTAGGTTTAAAATCCCAAGTATCTGACTTAAACCATGAACCCCTCCGGGCTGGGTTCCATCTTTGAACATTTCACCTGGAGCTCCAGTGCCATCAGCAGCACTGTAAGAGAGGAGTCACCGCGATGACCACCTCTGAGAGGGGTCAGTACCAAACATCAGTCTTGAAAATGACAAGCTGTCCCCACCATGGGAATGGCACACCAAGTCTGGCCAAGTGAAGAGCTGGCACCAGGAGACCATCCTTTCCCACTCTCTTAATTATCAGAACTCTCTGGTGTAAATCTCTGCCCTGCTCCCTACCTGCTGCGTCGTGAGCGATGTGCACAAGGAGCAGATGGCCTCGGCATCTTCCGAGGTTTTCTTTTTCAGCTGCAGAAGCTGTGCTGCCTGAATCAAGGGCTCCAAAGTTTGTGCTGCTCCACTCTGCTGCAGATTCTTCCCATGCAGCCATTCCTCCAGCTGGCTTATGTTAAACCTGGGGAAGCAATCAAGGTAAGACATGAGCTGAGAGGGAAGAAGTAGCATCTCAAAAACCCTCTACAAGACTCAGGGTATACTGCAGTGCTGGTATCTGTGGCTTTTTTAATACATATTTGTGATATACTTGGCATGAGACAAACAGACCTAAGCTTAACAGTCAACAACTCAAAGCAAAATTCATACTTTATGTACCTTAGAAATAGATGAGCCGTGTAACAGCTGAACAGCACAAAGGAATGTGCTTTTCTACGGCATTCAGATACATTCAAATTTCAAAAGTCTATTAAAATTAAGCTTTTAACAAGCTTTTAATTGCTACCAAAATCCTGTGAGGTACCCAAGTACCTTTGAAAATATGTACACAAAAATTGCTGTTGCCTGTGCCCACTCCCAGGCTCAAGGGGGACGTGCAAAGGATCTACTGTGGGAAAGGGAGAGGGTAACAAAAGGAAGGTTTAAATCATTTACAGCCAAAATTAAGTTGATAAGATTTATGCCAGGGCTGGTAAATATTCATGAGCCCTTTCTGACAGGTTTGCACTAGCTGTCCTTTGGAATTTCAATCCTTATTACAACACTACACTAAGACAGCAAAGGGGCATGCGGGCCCCTGATCCCAGCAGCCGACCGTGCTGCCGCTTGCCTGCAGCTCTCGAGAAGCCAGAGGCACTGTGGATGGTGAGAGGGGATTGCCCTTAAGATCCACCTGCAGAACCACAGCCTTCCACACTACACTTGTTACGTTAAAACCAGCAGACACGGCTGCAGGAGGGAACCATGGAGACTTCTCCATCCCAACATTCAATCCATCCTACATCACCTGGTGTAGTCTTTGGGCTGTGAAGCCTTTCAACTCAGGCTGGGGAAAGCCCACCCCACAGATAAATACTGTAACACACATTTAATTCACAAGCAGCACAGAAAACTGCATTGCCCCATCCCTGGAAACATTCCACGTCAGGCTGGATGGGGCTCTGAGCAACCTGATCTGGTTGAAGATGTCCCTGCTCACTGCAGGGGGTTGGACTAGATGACCCTGAAAGGTCCCTTCCAACCCAAACCCTTCTGTGATTCTAGTCAGTGGGGGTTAGCTTTAACTGCCACTGCATCCATCTCCTGCTAAATGCAAACAGTTTCTCCCCTTACTTACACCACTGCATTTTATTTTCCTATTTTCCGCCACCAAAAAAACCCTCCTTATGCAGGTACCTCCCTTCCCCAAACCTGTGTCCTACCTTAGCTGCATGCCTGTGCTCCATGAGCAGACATCCTTCCTCAGCAGGAGGTTGTTCAGGGCGACAGCATTAATCATGTAGAAGAGCTGCTTGAAGACCTGCTGTATGATCTCTGGGTCCAGACCCTGGTCACACATGACGCTGTGGAACGTGTTCAGCTGGCGAATGATTGCATCTAAGCTGTAAAAGCTTTCACCATCTGCCATGCTGGAGGAGCGATTCCTGTAGCCCATTGGTTTGACACCAGAAAGCCCCTGGATACTCTCATTTTCCAGCACTGCAGACACTGAAAAAGGGATAAGAAATGAGCTAAAAAAGCCTGCACCCACCTATTAGTCACTGGAGGTAAGAAATGCTCCTTCATGGGCAGTCATAAACATGCAGCAGTGTCAAAGTGATGCAACCTTCCAGCATCAAGTGATGCTGGGAGGTCTGAAAAGGAGGCCAGATCCATGAATTGCTAGCTTATTGTGATAATATGAAATAGTTGATGCATATTGAGTAGCTGTAAGATCACACTTTTTACCTCCATTCAGTGTTATTCCACAGAAATCACTTACCATGCTGCTGGAACCTGGAACACCTCTCCTTTGAACTGTAATCAATTTTCCCTCTATACCCACCAAAGAGCCTTAAATTCTGCAGTTGAAGTGATTAATTGGCTCAAAGGATTGGGAGAAATGAAGATAGATTAGAAGTAATAAAATTTTTACAGTGTGACTAACTGATAGAGGCACAGGAGAACTTTCTGCAAGGAGCTGGAGATACATGCAGCGATGGCAGGAGGTGATGCTGTCAGATAAAGCCAGAATTTATGCAATGACATTTGGAGGGCAAAGCAAAAAGAGTCCCAGATACAGAGGAGTCCAGGCTGGGAGCTCAAGTCAAATACCAGCAGCTAAAAAAGATAAAGCACTGAGAACAGCCCCTCAATTAGTTTAGTAAGGAGGACAGATTTAGCTGAGGAGGTGACTCTTCTCATACTGACTCATCTTTGCAAAACAAGATCTTTATTTATCTCTTTTTCCTCTTCCCAATACTCTCCTCTCTCATAATGCACATTTCCACCCATAAAAGCTTAACTATGAAACTGGCCTGGAGGGGAACACTACAGACCTACCAGCACCACCTCACCTCTGTCACTACCTCCCCAACAGAAAGGAAGGAGGACTGGAGCAGCTCTGCTGTGAGGACAGGCTGAGAGAGTTGGGGCTGTTCAGCCTGGAGAAGAGAAGGCTCCGGGGAGACCTTCTAGCGGCCTCCCAGTACCTGAAGGGGCTCCAGGAAGGCTGGGGAGGGACTTTTCATAAGGGCAGTTAATGACAAAACAAGAGGAAATGGGTTTAAACTGAAAGAGGGGAGGTTTAGATTAGATATTAGGAAGAAGTTCTTCACTGTGAGGGTGGTCAGACACTGGAACAGGTTGCCCAAGGAAGTTGTGTCTGCTCCTCCCTGGAAGTGTTCTCGGCCAGGCTGGATGAGGCTTTGAGCAACCTGGTCTAGTGGAAGGTGTCCCTGCTGCTGGCAGGGGGGTTGGAACTGGATGAGCTTTAAGGTCCCTTCCAACCCAAACCATTCTATGATTCTATGATCTTCTATTATACGGGAAAAAAAGCCTTGTCCCTATTAGTTTCTGTCATGGAGGAAAATAAAAGCTCAACCAGGTCTGCCTTCCTATCTCCAGACCACTGCTAACATGAGGACATGCTCCAAACCAAGACTTTTTTTTGGTAACATATGCCTCTTTGCCAACTGCAGGCCTTTCCTTTGTGAAGAAGTCATGCTAACGCCATACAAAGGTCTGAGAAAAAACTCACAGAGTAGATAATTACAACAAAAAAAATACCCTCCTAAAAGTTAATGTGCTGTGAACGTACCGATCATGGGTTGCAGTATGCTCTCTGCTATCTTAATGAGCTGCTGGTAGATCTGGATGGAGAGGTGGCTCAGCACCTGGCGGTACTCGGTCAGATCAAAGTTCTTCAGACAGTGCTCGTTCTGCTTCGGTGTGTTCTGTGTCATGAAACCCTGAACAGAAGGAGTTTAAAACACCTGGTTTCATTATTCCACCTACTTAAAGTCCAGTAAAATCACTGTATTAAAAGAATATAAAAAGAATTAAAAGAGTACCACATATCCAGATGTTACCAAAGTACATTTTTAGACTCTATTACGGAAAAGATCAAGACTCATAAATCACCTCTGATTTACTCAGCCCTTTGTTCCTAAATTACTACTAGAGGGCTGCTTTCTGGAGAAAAGCATCATTAAGCAATATTTTCTTTCATTTTATCTTTAGCAATGAGCAACATTTGTATTAATTGCAATATAGACACGAACTAGAAAATGACAAGTCCTGACAAACTTTTTTAGCCATTTATCTATCCCTGTAAATTGCAATTCTTTACAGGTACTTTAAGATTAAGAGACTAAGTAATATATTAGAAAATGAAAAAAAAAAAAACCAAACCCAAACACATGCTATGCTTTGACAACATTTTAAGCTGATCTGAAGTTCAGAAATCTCTCCAAGTAACTGAATTTATTCCCTGCCTTTTGCTGAAGCAGCAGCTGATCTCTGATCCTGCAAATGGATGCCGAGCTCTGGGCTCAGAAACGCCAGTTCTGCTGGCAGAAGCAAAGGAGATCTAACTTAATTTTGTAATTAACACAGACACTTTAATTGCCTGTTCATATGGTCTTATCAATTTGGTGACAAAATGAGAAGTATGCAACTTTTTTTGTTGTTTGCTGACTAGCAAAATGCAAAAATGCAACATGCACAATTTGAGTACAGAATTTCTTATTTTTCCCGACTAATGAAGACATGCTGCACTCCTTGAACTGCAAGACTGCATTTAGCTTGGGATTTTCTTTTAAACCTGTTTTGTTAAAAATAGGTTGCATTTAAAACTAAAGATTTTGGAATTTGGAGTATTTTGGAAGCAGCTCAGAATTATTTTCCCCCCTTTGTTTCTTTGCAATAAATTATCAACTGAATTTGCAAATAGATGGTTCATTTAACACAGTAAATCGTGGCAAAGAATGTGATATTGAAGTTTGGGGTTTTTTTTTCCACCCTGCTGGTTTTCTGGGGAGAATTTTCTTTAAAATGTAATGTTGTTATCCAGGCAGAAGAGGGCAAACAGGAGCATAACTATTAGTATTATCTAAATTATTTTTCTTTTTAATTTAAATCTTGGAAGTTCAGCACTGAGATTTACACAGCAGTCTATCTTGTGAATGATCTGAAAGGTTAATTTGATTCCATGAGAATTTTTTTTCTTGATTCTTAAAGTATGATTGCTCAATATATCTAACACAAATCAAGACTAAAAGAGAAACGACATAATTTGGCTCTGTTGAAAATTTTAACACCCAGAACATATGGCTATAAGGATGCCAGCATGAAATGTACTAAGAGGACTGTGATGATCTGATTTTGTCAGAAGGGATTGGCTATGATAAAAGTTATTTCAACTTCTGAAATATTACTGAGATGGTAAGAAATTAGCAGATTTCCTTCACAAATCTTACATTATGATTATTTTTGCTCTCTCAAAGTGTGGTTATTCTGAACTAGTTGAACAGAACAGGAAAAAATCAGTAGAAACATCCAGAATAAAACTGCAAAATTTGGAACAGTTCTCCCCTATCTAAAAATCTTGGTTAATGAAAAGCTGTGGGACCTACTAAAACCAGGGAAACAGCCTTCAAAACAGCCTAGCACAATGAAATCCCTGTTCAGACAAATCAAAATACACGGTTCGCTATGAAATTCAAAATATTCTCTTGTGTGTTGTGTTGTAAGGGTTCTGGTTTCAGATCTCTGTCCTGGTTTTGCTAGGATAGAGTTAATTTTCTTCTTAGCAGCTAGAAGAGCTGTGTTTTAGTTTCAGTGTGGGATTTGTTATGAGAAGAATGTTGATTAGGTGCTGAGGTTATTAGTTGCTGCTGAACACCCAAGGTCATCATGTTTGGGTAGTTTGCAAGTGCAAAGGACTGGGAGGGGGGAAGTGTAGTAATTAGCAAAACCCAGAATTGGCATTTGGGTCTGACAATGAGACATTCCAATTCGTATCACATCATGGTCAGTATATTAATCAGGGCTGACTGGAAATTGGAGATGTTCTCTCAGGGATCACTCAGGCTCGCTCTTTTGTGATTACAGTTTGGGTTTGGGGACTGTCTCTGCTCCAGGATCACTGGCTGGGACAGGCTGGGCATCGGTCAGCGGGTGGTGAGTGACTACACTGAGCATCACTCATTTGTATATTCTGTTATTACTGTTATTCTAATTATTAATTTATTTCAATTAGTAAATTGTTCTTATCTCAACCCACAAGTTTTCTTACTTTTACTCTTCTAATTTTCTCCCCTACTCCCTGCTCAGGGGAGAGTGACAGAGTGACCTGTGTTTGGCTGCAGCCAAAGGAGTGAAACCACCACAATCTCAAATTGCACAGTGCAAAGCCCATGAACCTCTGGTCTAGTTCAGACTAGATATAAGGAAGAAATCTTTTATGTTGAGGGTGGTGAGACACTGGCCCAGTTGCCCAGAGAGGTGGTAGAAGCCCCATCCCCGGAAACAATCCAGGACAGGTTGGACGGGGCTCTGAGCAACGTGATCTGGTTGAAGATGTCCCTGCTCACTGCAGGGGGGTTGGACTAGATGGCCTTGAAAGGTCCCTTCCCACCCAAACTAGTCTGTGATTCTATGATTCTAAGAGCTGCCTCATGTTGTATCAAATTAATAAAGGAGAAAAGCCAGAGTTGATCCCACGACGTATCCAGAGGGAAGCCACCAGACCCAGGAGACCTGAAGACCCTTCCTGGAGTAATGTCAGAACACTCGAGATCAGCGACAAGTTTCTTACCGCGTCCCCGCTGTACTGCTTTAGACAGTGCAGGAGGCGACACGTGTTCGCCAGCCAAAACGACGTCATCTCAAAATCATCGTTGTGTTTCTGGAGGAGCAGAAATAAAACATGTGAGACCCTCCCGCCCCTGGCTTCAGTGGGGGATGCTGGCATAACAAAACAAAGTAATCTTGAATTTCCCCACCGAGATAAAGAAGGACTCCCTCTGCAGATGGGCAGTATTAGTCATTTGTTCCCTGCAAACATGTTTTTAAATCTGTAAATGTCAACAATTTTATTGCTAAGATCATAATTCTCCTTGTTCTTCTAAAATGGCAAGCTGTAACAGTGAAGGACTTTTCATAAGGACAGTTAATAACAAAACAAGGGGAAATGGGTTTAAGCTGAAAGAGGGCAGGTTTAGATGAGATATTAGGAAGAAGTTCTTCACTGTGAGGGTGGTCAGACACTGGAACAGGTTGCCCAAGGAAGTTGTGGATGCCCCCTCCCTGGAAGTGTTCAAGGCCAGGTTGGATGAGGTTTTGAGCAACCTGGTCTAGTGGAAGGTGTCCCTGCTGCTGGCAGGGGGGTTGGAACTGGATGAGCTTTAAGGGTTAGGGTTAGGTTTCCAACCCAAACCATTCTATGATTCTATGATTTGATTTGAAAATCACCGTAAGAGCTAAATATGACACACTTTGACATGGTTATAACCATTTTACCCCACCTTAACCCTGAGACAAGAGAAAAATGGCACCTACCTTCAGCACTTTCTTAATGCCATTGATGGTGGAGGTGAGCAAGGAGTGCACTTTCTGGTCATCATTGATGTAATCTGCGTGTCTGATGCACATGTAGAGGATGTAGGCAGGAAGACAGGGAACAGTAGCAGACACTGCTTGGGGCTTGAGATCTAGAAGGTTTGGGGTTTGTTTTTTTTTTAGAAAAAGTCCTCTTAAAATTCACCAGCTGCCAGGTGAAACCAGGTAACACCAGAGCTAGAGACATGCCCAGGCAAACCCCTCTCCCCCCAGCCCCAGAGAAGTTGAGATTTCAGCTCTGCAACTTGCATCCCTCTCTGCAGCGTGGACACAGAACCAGAGGTCTGACTGCAGGACAGATGGACCTGCTGGAGCTGGCCAAAGCAGAAGAGCCACAGCACCAGGGCTCGGGAGGGCAGCACAGTCTGTACACATAGTTTTTGACACGATGACCTTTAGGGATGCACAGATGTGCACAGGTAGCACTAGATCTTCTTTACGATGTGGAAGTCCACCCAAGCAGCACACAAACAACCTCAGAAAAGTTCCCTGAAGCTTCCAGGAAAACCTCCCACAGGTTATAAACCCTCACTCTGAATTCATGACTCAGTAAATCACTCTTCCCCTCGAGATACTGAGTCCTAATGGCAGCTGCGGGGATTTGCAGCCTCTAAAGGAAGAGCCTGTCTGATAAGGAGAACTTCAAAGACCATAGCAATGGGGTAGCAGTGCTCTTTGAACACTTTTTAGATCCTCACTAGACTCTGCTGGAGTTAGAGAGTGATGGTAAATACTAACAGTCAGGGAAGCATGACTTCTTTAACAGCACTGAGTAAGGGGATGCTGCATTAATTCTGATCAGAGCTTCCAGTGTAAATGAGCTCACAAGTTTATTATCCGTTATTATATCATAAACCAAACTACCTTTGTTTCATTGCTGCATAAAATTCCTCAGAGCCTATCCCATGCTATCATCTCCCCACCTATTACAGCATCGTATCAAGCTCAGCAAGTTACTGCTTGCTTCAAAAACTGCAGCCTCCTTTGTGCATTTTCCACTTTTTGCTACCCCTAAGGATTACATCCATGCTGGTCTATCTGCTTAGTGCTGCTCTGCTTTACCTACCAAAACTGTTATCACCATAAACATGGTGCTGTCACCATAAATGTGCAGCCCCAGGAGGGATTAATTTTAGATCTGTCTATCTTGAGATCTCAAGTTTACAAACTCTCCCAGGCACAAGAAGAAGGAGCCAGGCACAAGAGCAGAACAAGTTCCTCACCTGTAATGAGGTTTCGGATGAGGAGTGGTTCATCTTCTTTATAATATTCCAACATGCCCTGAAAATCTTTCTCCTTCCTCTGGACAGCAACTTGCATGTTACGCTCATGCTGCCTCCTCTCTGCCGGTACTGCAACTTGGGATGCTGTGTGAAGAGAAAAAAGCATGAAAGGTGGTACCTGGCAATTAAGAACTTGTCAGGTCCTCCATTAATCTTAGAGCAGACACCAGGTCAAAGGGTTATATACTAAGTTTCCAATAATGTCATCAGCTTCAACAGACCTAGGAAAATAGAAAGAATCAGGTCTTGAATTATGGGTCAGCAGTAGTTCTGACTCGGAATGAATTAGACTGCAAAAGTTAGACCTAAAGAGGAAAAGATGAAGTAATTTTTTATTTTACAAGGAACCACAGGCTAGAATGTAGTAGCCCTATGGGAAACTTTTTAGTGTATCATTTTCACAGAGGGGGGGAAAAAAAATAGCCAAGCAATGAAAAAATACCTAAGCATCACATCTTCTGGCTGCCTGTAAAGCTGAAGAATCATGGTGACACACCATCGAGCACCCTGCTTCCATAGAAGTTTAATAGAACAGCAGCGTGCAAGTACTGCAGTAAACAGCAGCCTGCTGCATGCAGATTACACTGACAGAGACCAGCTGTGCCAGCCATGAAAACCCTCCAGTTTTTCAGCTTAATTTCACTTAATGCCTAGTTTTCAGAAATTAGCTCATGAGAATGGCGTTCTCTAATTAATCACAGCATCCCCAGGGAATGGGGAGCTCCTTCTACACAACACAGATGTCACGTCTGAAGTATTTTTTGATCAAGCAGAGTATACATATATATTTTAATCCTAAATGGTTTTACCTCCCCTGAAATTGCCAGAACCAAGCAGTTACCTGCTGGCCACTGGTCTCTTCTCTGTATCTCTGCTTGGGTCACAGTATTGACCATAAGGAAAGCAAAAAGGTTTCTAAAATACCCTCCAAACCAAGCATCAGATGAATGCCTCCAACAAGCACTCGCCCTCCATCACTTCATGGCTCTTCTTCCATTTTACCATGTTCAGCCACATTAACAAGCTACAGCGACAGCAAAGCAGCTGTACTTGCTCAAAGGCAGACCAAGCACGACCTCTACAGCTTCATTTGGACTTTCAGTTCCCTGCTGTCACACCAACGATGAGCTTAGTGCTCACTGCTAGTTCAGCGCCAGAATGAGCAAAGTCTTACTTTAATACAAAGAAAAAGTGAAAAACCAGCAGCTCTCCAAGGCTGGCCAAAGAAGCAAAATCAAAGTGCTGTTCCACCACCCCAGTGTCTACCAACAGCCAAAGTCACCTTCAAAATCTTGGACCTTCTTTATGTAAATCTTCAGCTGCTTCTTCAGCTTCTTTTCATTCTTTTCCAACTTCTCCAGCAATTCTTTAAGATCCTGAAAAACAAAAGATACACTAGTTTTTTTTAAAAAAACAAAAAAACAACCCAAGAACAACTCATTTGGGGTGAGTTTGAGGCTGGAGTCACTCAGCAGCCAGGAGCAGGCAGCTTGGTCTGTGCACCACTGCTGCATTGTGTGAGCACCTTGGTAGAAGAAGAGCTGTGTTACTTACTCCTGGATTGCTCAGAGACACCCTTACCTACACTGCAAAGACTGTGGATGTTGTACACCTGCTTTTCCTACAAGCAGCCTACAGCAAGCAATACTCACAACACACCACCTAAAGCATTTTATTCCTGGTTGTTAATCATATTTAAACTGTTCCAACTCTATTTAGACAACAGAGTTGTTGAGAAAGGCAAGCAGCCCCCACCTGAACTTAGGAGGGACCAGTGTTCACTCCAAACCTTGCAACACAGATACAGGAGGTGAGAAGGGGAAAATTTATGATCAGCCAGACCAGCTTTTCAGAGTGGCAACTGCCCTCCACACTCTCAATAAATGCAAGAAAGAAGAAAGGATTGCGTTGTCTTTGTGCATAATTTCAGAGTATAGAGGTCCCCAGTGACCTCGTCTGGTAGGCAGTGCCACAAAAAGCAGGCAGGGTTAAAAAAGGTTAAAAAATAAAAAATAAAGTACCTAAGGAATCATAAGAGTCATATAGTCACTTAACAACAGTTCAAGGCCAAGTATCAGTGCTCCCAAATGCACCAATGGAGATGCTGAAGGATCCTGCAGAGAGTTTAGGAGAGGTGGAAAAGACCCTAGTGCTTTCTCCTCCTTTTCACATCTCCCATCTCCTTTCTCTCAACCTGTTTTTCTCCTCTCCCTTAGGCTGTGTTTTCAGTATAGCCTCTTACCAGATTTTCATTGGTGAGACGTGTCATTTCTTGCTGAAGTCCAAACTCTACCTGGGCCTCCGGAGACAGCTGCAAGGTCTGCAGGAAAGCCTGCTGCTGTTTCTCCAGCTCTTCTTTCATTGCATCCACCTGGTTTTTCAGAGCTTCTAACTCCTCCTCGTGCTCTTTTCTCTCATCCTGGAGCTGCGCTTCCAGCAACCTGAGAAAAGGACCACACTTGATCAGCCTGTGATTTTGACATCATGGTAGTAACCACTTCTTGAGTTTAGATCCTTCAAAGTCAAGCAGCCTGGGAGATGTTTCCAGCCAACCTCCCTATAAAACTGACACACACAACAAAGGGGTGCTACAGCTATTATTGCCACATTAGTCTGTCATTTGCTATACTGCAGATTAAATACATTTGAAATTAGAGACATGAGATCAAAAGTTTGTTGACTTTTTTTTAAACAAAAAGGAGGAAAAAAATCCAAAAGCTCCCTTTTTTCTGCAACTCTATCACAAATTTTGGGTTCCTTTACTCTTTCCATTAGCAAAAAGCAAATGCACAGCAAGGAAGCAATGCTGATAAACACCTGAGGGCTTTTCAAAAGCTGAGCTTAAAGGGCATTTGTTCTTGTGCTCACCCCCTTTCAAGCACCAGTTCTTACTATTGAAAACTGAACCATGTATCTTGCAAATGGCTCTGCTGGGTTGGACTGCCACAGGCTTTGTCTGCTACTGCTGGGAGTTTAAAAAAAAAGGCAGAAGCAGGAACCCTTCATTCCTTTTAGTTGTTTGTAGAGCTGTTAGTTATCCTTTGCTTAAAAAGTAGTATATTCACGTATATCCCAACTTTCATTCATAAACTATCTGCAGAAAACCATGCACAAGGCAACTCTCTGTCATCTGGATCAGTTCCTGCTTTCATGATCGCTGCTGACTTCACCAGGACACTTCAGCAAGAGGTAAAAAAGAGGTAAAAAGACTTGTTTCCTTGTACTCCGTGATAGAGAAATACTAACACCGTGATACACGGCTGATAAAAGTCACCAAAACCCTTTTTCTCTAATACTTTGTCCTGCCACCCTTTCCTACACCAGGTCTCCTTCCAGCCCTACCCCGAGCCTATGCACAAGGACAACCCTGGGGGGAAATGCTGGGCTAAAGGGTAAGGTATTTATTTAGTGCATTATCCATCCATTTGCTAAACCAGAATGTCTTTGTTAATCCAGTGGAAGAATGATTGATCAGTGAGATGTTAAATGTTAAATGCCCTCCTGTACAGACATGTGCTGATGGGAATGCTGACAAACCTGGCAAGTGGCATGATAATTGATTTTTAAGGGTATTGCCTATCCTCTGACAAATAGAAATCTCCTCGTTAGTCCACTAGCTCTCTCAGGAAGCCTGAAAGAAGGGATGAGGATTCTGAGAAAAGGGTGTAAAGCCAGGAACTGCAAAGTATTAGTCCCAGACTACACTTGGGTGATTACTGCAAAGAGGAGGAAGGACTCAGGGGGACAACCAAGCCCATGTCCTTGCTGTAGCTCATGGATGTGATCTCCTGGGCAGAGCTACGGACAGCCACACACCCAGCTCAGGGGCTTTGGCTCCCCTGGCATCGGATGCAAACAGCAATCCTCAGAGGTGAGGAGGACTCTGGTGTTGATAGCTCAGCATTTACCCAGAACATGCACAGACATGGAGCTGTGCTGTTGTTGTTAAAGCTACATCTCCATCTGACCCCCTGGGAAATTCATGGACATCCATACCTGTGAACTGTTTCCCTGCAGGAACAATTCAATGTGGGATTTTTTTTGTTTGTTTGCTTTTTTGGGGTTTTTTTTTAAGATAGTATAAAACAACACATGTTTTCTACAGAAGATTTCTAGATGAAAAGTATTAATCATTCTCCAGTTTGGGTTTTTTTTTTGTTGTTGTTGTTGTTGCTGTTTTTAGAAGATCTAAACAATCCGATCTCTCCTCCCATTTTCCAGCAGAAGACAGAAAAGCATGTTTTTCCAGCTACAGAAACATGGGCAATAATGCACTCAGCCTTGTAATCACGTTGTCAGGAATTGTATTCTTAATAGGCTTGGAAAATACAAGCCCACCATGAAATAAGTATTAAGTACTTAATTTTCATTTTATTTCTTCACATGGATTTGGATTAACGGCGAGCCACCCTCAGAAAAACATGCTCCTCCTACAAACTTAGGTTCCTACATTGCCTTGAAAAGCAAATGAATCATACCCAGTATTTTTCCTGTTATTTTCTGTTTTTTTACTCTGATACCTTTAGATGTGATCGCTTTAGACTACTTTATATTTGCACTTTTCCTCTCTATAGTGCCCTTAATCAGGTCATTTAATATATTTTCTAAAAACTATATATATTGGAGCCTCATAACCACCCAGAAGGAGAGCACAGACCGATTAACATTTAACTATCAGCTCTTCCAAGCACCAGGCTGAACCAGAAGAATCCAGGAGTCCTTCTGCCTTGCTTTATCTCCATTTGTGTTTCTAAATGTTCATTAGCTTGGAGGCTCATTCTCAGGAGCATGCAAAGAAGACAGCACCACAATACAAGCACAGGCACTTCACTTCTGACATGTCAAGGACTGGGAGAAAACACTTTAGAGAGGTGCTATATTTGGGAAAAATTTGAGTGCAATCTGGGAAAAAACATCTAAAATGAGGTTTTTTTGGGCTTCCTGGAGATGACAGCTTCCCAACACCTTTATCACACAATTTCCCATTAATGTAACATAAATTTTTCCTGAATCACAGCTCAGACATTAGTGACAACAGCCACCATCAGCAATGCCCAATTAAAATCACAACAACACCTCTGAAAATTAAAGGACGGTCTCGATTCCTCCAGTTCAGATATCCCACCCTTCAGCTGCTTCCAGAGAGGACAGCAGGACAACAGTTGAGAAAGAGAAAAGAAACAAAAGGGCAAGTGAAAGGGGGAAAGGAAGAAGTGGGGAAAAAAGAGAAGTGTTTGACCTGGCAACTTGCTTTAAACCTTGATAAGCCAAGCCGAGCTCTCCGTCTTCATTGAGATACCCCCAGTCCTCAGTCTTGCTAGAAATAAAGGATAGAAAAAGGAAACAAGAGGACAGAGAAAGACAAAAGGTCAATTGCAATAGAAGGGGAAAAGGTGAAGAACCCTTATTAAAGTTTTGGGTTTTTTTTTTTAAAGCACACTTTCATTACATGGTATTTCCTTTTCCACCATGGTAAATCAGAACTGTGCCCTGTTTGTAACCTCTATGACACCCCAGCTAGTGGAGCTTCTCCCTCCCCAGCTGTGAAAAGCATCCCCATGCAGCCCTTTCCTCTCCAACCCACCGCAGCCAACACGGGAATCCAAGATCATTCAGGTCAGAAGGGACCATTGGAGATCACGCAGTCCAACCTCCTGGCAGGTGATCATCATTCCTGAGATGTTTCTATTTTTATCAATAAGCCCAACTCCTGGAGGTCAGAGCCTCGAGTTTTCCTTTCTGCATGGCTAAACTGTTTCCTATTTGATTGCAAGAAAAAACTGGCAAGCCCACACCAGCTAGCTGCAATCCAGGGAGGAGAAACAAGGACCAAGAGGGATAAATGAGAGGACAGAAGTCAGCACAAAGTGTAAGGAAGAGGCGTCTGAACACAGATGGAGTAAAATGAAAAGCAGAGTGATCCTTAGCAGCTCCCAACAGGCTTCCTTGCTTCCTTCCCCCCCCCAAAAAAATCACTATTTTTGAGCTAGAACACCCCACCTGCACTTCCAGTACAAACACAACCCAACCCCACTGTTGACTGCATATGGATAGCTTTGAACAGCCTACTCCTCTTCCAGACCTTCCCTGCTCTGGCACATCTCACTAGTAAGGTGTTTTTAAAGAGAAAATTCTCCATTTCCTTCCTTCTGCAGCAATTTCCACTGGTCTAAAATAAATTATCTTCCTTCTGTTTCAGTCGAGGGTCTCCTAAATCACATCAGCCTTTCCTCAGAGCAAACACCCCCTTGGATGTTTGTTTCCTCATAACCACCACAGAGATCCAATCTCCTTTGTATCCATCCAGGCAGAAAAATGCCCCGAAAAGTCTCATCTGCCTTTAACAGTAAAAGTATCCCTTTAGTATTTCCTTGTTGTTTAGGTTTTTTGTAGTTATAGAAGGCAGGAGACTCATTTATCTTCTTTAATGAGGTACTGAACACATTACAAATGAATGATGGGAGCTGGTCAACCTGACCAGAAACACTTGCTATAGTGAGATTTTACTTGGCTTTGATGTGAGTTTGAAAACTATTTTTCTTTTTGGAAATAATAATAAAAATACATTTTAAAAAAGTCCACTTAAGTTTAACATATCATTAAACTTTCAGACCCTGAGAACTGAGCCAATATGCATCTCCTGTTTTGAAAAGAGATGTAGCAGACATCATTCCCTGAAAGCTCTGTGTATTTAAGTGGAAAAGCACAACATACAAACTTTGTACAGCAAATGTTCACATGAGGAAAGCAGCAAGGAATGTGGTGTCACAGCACTACTATGAAAGGACTCAGGTGGTGTCTCACTGCTGCTGACAGTTTGTACATCCCTTCCATACTGGTGTATGAGCATGGCATTTCTCAGAAGCAGCAACCATTTTAGGCATTAACATTTGGAAAATTTATCTGTTAAAAAATGTATTTATGAATTTAATGAAAACCCTATTTTTACCCCATACATAGCAGGTCTCCAAAAGAGTCTGTAGGATGATAGATATAGGGAGGTTTATTGGTCTGATCTGGGTCAATTTAGTAGCAAAGTCTTTTTTTGTTTGTTTGTCTCAGATAGTCTTACCAGAACATGTACTTAGGCACTGAAAACCAAGGGGGAAAAAAAACCCCCAAAACAAACAAACCAAAAAACCCCAACAAAAAAACCCAGAAGGATCCTTATCATTTATTACATGTCAGTAACCTGGGAAATACCACACGATGAACAGCATTTTTGAGAGATACATTTTCCTGGATAACCTCCTATGAAAAACAGCATTCCTTCCTTTTTTAATCATATGCTTTGTGGTAAATGAGGAAAGCAGTTCAAGGGGGTGCCATTATATTAAGATAAAACTGCCCTGGGAAATAAGTATTCAGTTCATGTTCATCAACAGGGCACTTTCAGAAATCATCAAGATCCCCTCCTCCCAAAAGTTCATATTGACCAAGA